TTGGAGGCACCCGAGATCCAAATATTCCACATGTAAAAGTTTTGGGGCGAAAGTTACTAACCCGGGAGCGAGAAAACCTAGAAGGCTGAAATTTTAGGGGAATATTCCCACTTATGCGCGAGCAAAATCAGGTGTTTAGAAGCACCCAGGGCCAACGTACGAGCATGTGGGGATTTGGCGCGAAAACTACTAACCCGGGAACGAAAAAAGCTAGAAAGCTGAAACTTTAGGGTAGTGTTTCCTGCTCATGTGTGACCAAAAGATCTCATATTTAACTCCTCTAGTGCGGCCTTTTTTGCAGACCAGCAACTTTCCATTTGTTGGGTCACTGAAATCGACATCTACAACTCACATACCAAACAGTTGCACAATTAACTTCCCGAACTTCGAGGACCAGTACGTCACAGGGTTAGCTCCTGTAATTCCCTGCGATCTTGCTACAGCACGAAAAGTGCAAAAACACATAATCGCACCGGTCCGCCTGGTGCGTTCTAGCCTGGGTTTTTCAATCTTTTTTAGTCTGGTCTATTTTGGTAGCCGAGATATCGTAATATTTATCAAATATAAATGCTTATTAAAATAAGTTCTCCACCTTAACGGTAACCGGTGGACGTCAGGCATTACCGAGTGGTACTTGCAAGAAAGACGAGCGGCCAAAAAAAGAACAAGTGGAAGTATACAGCCCGGAATCAAAAAGCCTAGCAATAGCAACGCTCGGCATGCAAAAGCATCACAATTTGAATAATAATTACTAACCAGGAATATCTAGACTATCCGATTGTCGGTGTGGGTATTCGATATTTGTGATGTAGGCCGAAAATTTTTGCAGGTCATTCTCCGGCTGGAGATTGTGGCACATACTTACTTTTTGTTCAAAATAGACGTAGCTGACTACTTTGCCCAAATTAACAACATCTAGTACGGTTTTACCATGAGTATACTGCCATATGCACCACCTTCGTTTTCGATACGTTTTCAGGGACTATAATAATTTAAAATTCTGTACAGGAGCCGATCCACAAAAAAAATCTTACCTGTATCCATAGGTTTATAGACGCTTTTATCAGTTTGTAAGAAAAGCGTCTTTAAGTCTGGCGCTCCAGGAATCAGCTTTTCAAACGGAATAACGTCGTCCTGAGTTCGAACTAGCACTCGATAGACACTGGAGCGCGCTTCTCCACCTGGTACGAAGAACTTCGGACGGTTTGTCGATCCTGCAAAAGTACAATTTCATCAATCAAAACAGGTAAAGGTACGTAACATAGAACAAAACAGAAGTGAAAATCCCTACGGCAATTCACTCTTTGTAAAAGAATGAGGCATTCGGAAGTATGCTTTGTAAAAGAATGAGGCATTTGAACCACTCGATAGCTCTAATACGGAGTGGTTGCTGTTGGCACTTGCTACCAATCGGGCTACTTGCGAGTACTTTTAGCCTTGTATTAAAGAGTGATTACGAAGGAGATTTTGATTTTTTAATTTCTGACTTTGACAGTGCAACCACACTCTACTCAGAATAAAGTACGACTTACCAGCAACACGAGCCTGCAGCGTTTGCCGGAAAACTACAGCGGCAGGATGCTCCGCACGAATTTCCACGCCAATATCAACAAGCGTATTGGTCGCACCGCGAGCCGTAATGAGCAACTCATTGGTGGCATTCCATTTCAAGTTATTTGGCGTGATTACCAGTGGCTCCCTGGCAGTAATATCAAATTCTTTTCGATGCTTGAAATTATTATGAAACAAGACATAAAAACAGCTATCATAATACTGTTA